CTTAAGCGAGGGTTTTACCGCCGGTCGGAGGAAGACCAATGGTGACCATACTTCTATTCCCCAGTCACCCTTGGGGGGTTGATGTGACTGTCTTGCCTTTGTACTTATTTTTTTATACTTTTATATAGTAAAATGTATTTAATTTTCAGATTGAGTCATGTTGTGTAACCACTGCTAAAGAAAATAAATAAAACTCTGCAACTCGAACACAGTTCACGCACAGACGACAGATCGTTTCGATGTACTGTTCAATTCCCAGACAGACGTCAAATGTACCTTCGCGGCATCAGGGAACATTACCAGACGGGGGCCGGTGAATTTTAATCTCGACCATGGCAAAATGATCAAGCCCCATGGGAAGTGGACGATGACGACAATTTGAAAAGAGTATTCGAATCCAATGCACAGCAGGAAAGTTCCGTTTCTTCTACGTATAACGTCCCACTGACCAACAACTTTTCCATCCTGGCACAACAAATCTACGATAGACAAGGACACGCCTTTCGACTTAACCTGGAATTAAGCCTCATTTTAAGAAACAAGGAGACGGCTCACTACTGCTCTTTTCGAGCGTATGGCAACGAATCCCTATTCCAACGTTCAAGACGAAGAGATTTTAACCGACTGAGACTCCGACTGGAACGATTTAATGTTACCGACGTCATCTTGAGCATGTTAAGACATAGACCGGATACCAAGTGGAAACCCTATCTTACCACCAACGTTCGATTCGTTCTATACCAACTGGACTATCCTTTGGGATACATCGGCAACCAGTTACCAGAATACAGCACCGCATCCAAATCGATCATCGCTCCGAACAAAATTTGTATGTGTTTTCTGCAAGGGCCATCTATGCGCCTGTCTATGTCTGATTGTTCACCGAGGCCATGTGAGAGATCAATTGGGAACACATACCACACACCTGCACGAAGAATGGGTACAGTTTACTCCGGATAAACACCTAGACGTCGAAGCCGATGCCAAGCAATTCAAGAGGTTACCACTTCAACAAATGCTTTTATTTCGAACATTGTTTCAGGACCAACGTTAATGTGTTCCATCTAAGAGACGACGGTGTAGCATTAACCGTTTACAAATCCCGATGTGCTGTTTTTTTCCTTCTATAATTTGATAACTTTATTAATTTTCGTCTATTTGTCTTTGTTTACATTTGTACTTTCATTTTATTACTACTTTCACTGATCATTCCAGGTAAATTTACCTTTACTTTTATTTTTATATATACCTGCACTTTCATTTTAATGTGAACTTTCACTTTCACTTCAAAGAGTTTATTTCCTGTTTCCTGTGTATACTCATAGATGTTGACAAATGTTTTGATTCTTTATAGAACTTGGTCATCCTATGCTAGGAAAACTGACAATCTTAAATCAATAAAGATTGGAGTCGAGTGCACCCGCACGAGCGGGGTTCGAACTCACAACCTCAGTATTGACTGGCTAGTGATTGCAGTAGTAGAACTACTTAGACCACTTGGCCACCGAGGCCCCTGTAACAATTTGAACTGTATATCATGTCAATAATAAACATTGTTGGATAAAATGAATTCAGTGATTTGTACTGCCACATGGAGTGTTTTGGTTCGCTATCTGTTAAGCTACCTAACGGTATACCCGATGTCAGTATGAAGACACGGTGCACGTCAACAAATTCGACCATCATTTGTCTTACATTTCCAAATTAATGGCGTACACCCAAAAGTATCATTGCGGCACCTATGACCGGCATTTTGTAGAATTCGTAACTTGAAACAACATCAATTGAAAAGACCAAGAAAGACCGTCTACAATTTTAAAGCTAGACTCTACGCCAACCCGAAAACGATTCTCGACAAACTAGCCGCATTTTTGCGCCTGTCCCGAGTCAAGAGCCTCTGGCCTTTGTTAGTCTTGTATCATTTTTAATTTTAGTTTCTTGTGTATAATTTGGAGCTTAGTATGACGTCCATTATCACTGAACTAGTATACATATTTGTTTAGGGGCCAGTTGAAGGACGCCTCCGGGTGCGGGAGTTTCTCGCTGCATTGAAGACCCATTGGTGGCCTTCGGCTGTTGTCTGCTCTATGGTCGGGTTGTTGTCTCTTTGACACATTCCCCATTTCCATTCTCAATTTTATAGAAAACAAGGCATCCACGTACAAGATCGTCTTATCGAATGGTTTGTCGTCTACGATTTCGAGGCCATGCTCATTCCGACCCAAGACTCGAATTCTGAGATGTTAGCGTGGACTCAACGGCCCGATTCTATCTCCGTCTCCATCTGCAGTAACGTCAAGGGATTCACCGATCCGCATTGTATCGTCGAACCCGACTTCGAAACGGTCGTCCGTCTAATGGTGGAATATATGTTGAAAATCGGAGATAAAACGTACTAGTTTGCAGATGCATTCGCCAAACTCGACAAAGACATTCAGAATCCGATGCGAGCTCTGTTCGAGGACGACGACGAGACGAATATAAATCAGATGCCTTTTTGGACGACAAAGAATTGCAGAACCACGTCGAGAAGGAGAAAAACGTCTTTATCAAGCTCAAAGACGAACTCTATGACAAGTTCAGCCAAACCGTCGTATTGGGATTTAATTCGGCCAAGTAAGACAGACACGAATCTGGTGAAATCACACTTGGTCATGCACGGTTCGGGCAAAACAAATTACCGTGAAAAGGAACAATAGTAGCGCCGTTTGTCCAACGAGTTATTTATATTTCTTGGCATAACCTCATACTTAGATCCCGGAGTTAGCTATGCTAAATTCTTGAAAGCTTTCGACGTCTCTGAAAATAAGAGATTCGTCCCGTATAAATGGTTCAATGTGTAGTCTATTTGTCTCATCCGACACTTCCGTCCCACAATGCCTTCTACAGCTCATAAAAAGAGTCCAACATCTCCGTCGAAGACCATGCTTACTGTCAAAACATATGGAAAGAGAGAGAAAAACATGTCGTCATTTCAGGACTTCCTCGTCTGGTTTATATCCTTTATACAATCATACTACTATTTGTTTTGTTTACTTAAATCCTTGAGAGGGTAAAATGTTTTTTTCGTGTGTAGCCTTGCACTTATCTCATGTTATTGTTATTTTAAATGAACCGCTTTAAATGACTATTCCAAGAAAAACAACTCTCGTTGACCTTCAAGTACAAAAACAAGTAGTTTTTCATGAGGTGAAATTTGATAGATTGAGAAAAATAATCAATCTGTGCATCATTCATATTGATATTGTCACTTCCGGTTCTGATTGACTACACACATGGAGCCAAATTTACGATGCAGTTTAGACAGCTTTCACCAGGGTATCTGGGTTGTTTTAGTTGTGGTCTTCACCAACAAGAGACAAGTATTGTTAAGCTTAGTTCTTGTCACAGAGATGTAACATAACACTTGAATAATTTAAAAATAGCTGTTGGTGGTCAACATCGAGGTCTCGCTGCGTACAATGCTGAAATACCAACTGAAGCAAACCTGTTGTGTCGTAGAGTAGGGATGTTTTCTACCAATATTTCGCTATAAGTTTGTCCATTACATCGTTACAATCTTGGAATAGAGTATTGACAGGGTAAAACTTGTAAACATCCTAACCATGAAGGCAACGAGAAGATATTTATAGGCCTTTCCAGCTTCCATTGCCAAAGAATCAAGAACCAAGTAGTAGTCCTTGATCGGCCCCTATTTGCTAAGTCACAAAGAAAGATGGGACTCCCTAGATTTTGCTTAAGATTTTAAGGCCTTAACCAAAATTACAAAAAATATGCGTACCCTCTCCCTAAGCCAAATGACACATTTGTTGCCCTATCAGGATCATTCTGGTTCCATGTTCCAGGGTATTGGGGTCTTTTAGAGTTCAAGGTTATACCTAAAATCATAGTGTATATTTAATTTATATCAGATTGAATTTATATCACCATTAATCACAGCTACTTTTTGTTCACAAAATTCAGTCAACTAGAAACTTTCAAATAACTACTTGTGTAATGATGGAGATGTGGTACATATATGAATTCCAATCAGACGACTATCAACTGTAGATCAAATTATGTAATTGTTAGCAAGCAATTATATGTCTTTGTTCTTCTTTCAACAAAGACCAAACCCATATGGCATAGCAAACTATAACAGGTCCTAAAATACATGTAACAAAATGTATAAAAAAAATCAAAAGAGGAACCCAACAGTTGGATTTACATACTTAAGCAACAAACAATCACATGACCATCAGCAACAAACGAAAACAACTTTTGCCCTGTAAATTTTAATATTAAAAACATTGCTTGAAATTAGAAAAGGAGGGTAAATTTAGTCAATTTTAAAAATTGGAAGTACCTGTTTTAGTACATCCGAAATTCAAATATCCAATTTATAGAGACATAGTAGCTTTGTCTGCTTGAAATTGAATAGTATACCATAGAAAGCAATAGAGGTCATGGATCCGTAACAGAAAGTCACAGTCAAAACGTCACAGACAAAAAGTCAAAAGTCACAATTCAATTTTGGGATTTTTTTCTTTCAATAAAAAAAAACAATTAGTATTTTTCTTGACTATAATATATTTAATGCAACATTGTGATTAAAACTTATTTAATAAATATCAATAATAATCGAATAATTGTTAAGAAAACAAAATGTCAAAGTAGCTAGCCAAAAAATCATATAAGGCACAAAATGGGCACCTCTTATGGAAATGAAAGATTTTCTATTCTATTCTATTCATTCATGATAAGAGGAAGATCTTGAAAAAAAATTGATTTTCATATATCCAGGCTAATGAACAATTTCCTAAACTGTAAAATGAATTAATGTAATTAAAAGAATATATTTCAAGATCTTCTTCTATATTCAAACAACTGTTAACAAATTGTCTGTGACTTTCTTTCCGTTTACAGAAGTGGTCCTGTTTTTCTTAAGTAATCTCAAGATAAACACTTTCAGTACTAACAACGACAAATTTATTTTTCTACCTTTCAATCTACCTGTGTGTCTTGACTTATCATGAATGAATAGAATAGAATAGAAAATCTTTCATTTCCATAAGAGGTGCCCTCACGGGGCAAAGTACATATAAGACAATAGAAAGTTACAAATACAATAAAGCAGAACAGCAAAACACTATACTTAATTTGAACAGTACAACATTGCTAACAGTGTCACTGTGATACATAATAAATGTTTACTCAAGGCAGGTGTTTTAATAAAGACACGATATAGCTTAGTTAGTTGGTACGGTAATGTTAACATTAGGTTCATATTACAGTTTTTTGGAACACATATACTAATTTCAAAACAATTTTGGTATCTATGCATGCCGAATATCTATAAACGGAAGGGCATAAAGTATATTTCGACATCACATTCATAAAATTTAAAACCAAAGAACGAGAAACGTCAAAGTTATTTTGTCGTCTACCTGTATGATAACGTAACTAATTTGGTTCACCTGGAACTCACCCTAATAAGTTGTCACGATAACAATATAAAGTCGTGGCTTAATAACGCGGAAATCAGACTTATATTTTGTCAATTATTTCACTTATGTTGTCTAAATGCTCCTTTCTGAAACAATTTTAGACTTGTAGTGCTGGCAGTTTAATCTTCATTTTTATTTATGCATGTATTTTAGGTGAGTTCCAGGTTAACCAAATTAGATACGTCATCATACAGGTAGCCGAAAAATAACTTTGTCGTTTTTAGTTCTTAGGTTTTAAATTTAAATTATATTAAGTGGCATCTTTACTTCGTGACTGTACAATGTGAGGTCGAAATATTCATTCTCGTAGGGCTTCTTAATTTCAGCATAACCTGTTTTGCTGAATCAATCACTTACAGCAATATCAAAATACGGCACCTCTTTATTAATGTTTTTCTTGACAGAATTGATTTATAAAAAGGCATTAATTGATTAGAATTCATTTTTGTCAGGTCTAAAGAGAAATAACAATTAAAATCTGTAAAAAAAAAAAAACTTCATTTTCAGGATGACAAAGTTATTTTCAATCTAACCATAATGACGATTTATATTTTAATGTACGCATGTCATAATAATTGAGAAATAAGACGATAACATTGAGAATGAAAATGGGGAATATGTCAAAAGAGACAACAACCCGACCAAAGAGCAGACAACAGCCGAAGGCCACCAATGGGTCTTCAATGCAGCGAGAAAATCTCGCACCCGGAGGTGGTCCTCAGCTGGTTCTTAACTAAAATTGTGTGCTAGTTCAGTGAAAATGGATACATAGAAGAGGATAAGTAGCTGGAAAATTTGGTAAACGGACAAAAAGTCACAGGACAAGAAGTCACAAATAATTTGTTGACAATTGTTTGAATATGTTAGAGGAAGATCCTGAAATATTTTCATTTTATTAGTAAATATATATATTTTACAATTTAGGTATATCTTTCTCTAAATTAGCATAAACATCTACTCTCAACATTCCTAAATCAGAGTTAAGCCTTACCCCATTTTTTACTAACCAGTCACGTCCTCAAATATCGTTTCTGTTCATGTCAGAAACAAACGTAAAACAAGTGTGTCATTTTCTTATTTTTAATAGAAAATTCAATTAAAATACTTCCTAAACAATAAAGTAAGTTTCTATTTACAGAATGAAGATTAACTTTCATTTAAGATAATTTTGGTAAGTTTAAAGTTTTAAAAATTGTATAATGTAGTAAACTACATTGTGCTCCAGAATCAACAAGTGCCCTTAGTTTTCTATTTTTAATATTTAATATACAACTGTTTGGATAACCTGCCAAATTTATAGTAAAAATTTCATTTGTTTCTGGTCTAGTTTTTCTCTCTTTGTTGGATCCATAACAAAGAGAGTTTCTTAGTTTCCATGAAATCTATTTTCTTGTTTATCAAAAGTTCTATCCCTACAAAATCTTTTAATGTGACCTTTTTTTCCACATTTACAACATTCTATATCTTTATTAAAATTTGGAGATTTATCGAAAGCATTGACTTGTTGTCTTGCCCTACATCTTTAGATTAATGGTCTAGTGAATTGCAGTAGTGTAATATTGGCAGTCAAAGTGCCTCATTGATACCTCAGCACCGCAGGTGCCTACTAGGCGCCTCATTTGACCTTATGAACGGCGACCTCATACAATCAATCTGGTATGATGTAAGGAGTCCCAAGAGGTGAATCTGATGCAAACTTTGACCCTAAGAAAGGTGACCTCATACAACCCATCTGGCATGATGTAACAAAAATCCACAACAAGGTAGCCTCCTTTGACCCTATGAAATGTGACCTCATCTGACATGATGTAACAATGATATGAAATACACCGCGAAGCCCTTTTCATTAAATGAAAACACAAACAAATAATTTCTGTTGACAATTCATTACATTATCTTCAATGAATATACATATATAATATGAAGATACATTAAAATAAACCCCCAAGGGTGACTGGGGAATAGAAATATGGTCACCATTGGTCTTCCTCCGACCGGCGGTAAAACCCTCGCTAAAGTGGGGCGTCCGTTTGGCTGTGCGGGATGTACAAATTTGCAGCCACGTCCGGTCAGAATGGGGACGTTAAATCCGATGCCTCGTGTAAAGAGAGTGCCACGCTCTTTGCACGTTAAAAACCCTTGCAACAACTCTTGAGGGGTCCGTAGGTGACCTGTTGCAAGGCTAAATTTCTGTCCCTATCCATTATACCCTCATTTCCCGTGGCAATCTAAATTTCTCCGACCTTAATCCCGGACGCCCCTCTTACATAACTTACCTATTGTATTTATTGTTAATTTGTTCTCGTCCTGAATATGCATGAAATATTTGCCACTGGACGTTAAGCAACCAACAATCAATCAATCAATCAATCATTAAAATAAATCACTTAATACATTGAAATAAATTTTAATCATAGTAACTTAATTAAACTTAAATAGAACTGTAGTTATCTTAAAAGAGAATAATTTGAAAAGAACAAAGTATTTCTTTAGGAACTAAGAAGAAAGGAATGTAATACATTGAAATAAATTTTAATCATAGTACCTTAATTAAACTTAAATAAAACTGTAGTTATCTTAAAAAAGAATAAAGTATTACATTAGGAAAGAATGTCAACAAAAAATATATTCGGAACGAGAACATATGTACAATATATATATATCTCATCACAATGTGTATATGTATAAAAAAAAATACCATTCGTAAAAAGTTTAACAGCACTAAAAATTTCATACAAAAAATATCTTTCATTAAATAAAAAAGGAGTTCCAAAAGTAATATAATAACAACGGGCTGGGGTGTGTATACATAAGAAACAGCTTTAAAAAATGTCTTTCTTATCACGAACAATATGATTAAAATATGGATTACATGTGTAGACATAAACAGTTGAAAGTAAACAACTAATTAGACATGTCAAATCTGGAAAGTTAATTAGTTCTGATGAATACATTGTATGGAGGAAGGTGATAATTGGAAACAATCAATATATCAACATTTAATAAAAAAAAAAAAGGTTTAACATATATACATTATGTCACAAAAAAAGAAGCACCGAATAAAATAATAAGTATTTCTTAAGAAACAATATTTTTATATTTAAAGAGAGAGAGGGAAAAATTTATATGTTTAAAATTATTGAAAACAAACATTGTCATCTGTACTTTATAATTAAAACAAGTAAGGAAAAGGAGATTATTTATTTTCATTGTGTAATAGCACTATGTTACAAAAAAAAAAATAGAAGCATCATTATCAACATTAAATGAAAAAGGTTTAACATATATACATTATGTTACAAAAAAAAGAAACATCAAATAAAATAATAATTATTTCTTAAGAATCATTATTTAAAGAGAGAAGGGAAAAATTTAAATGTTATAAATTATTGAAGAAAAAAAAATAATTCATCTGTACTTTTATATTCCCTTATTTATTTTCATCATGTTATAGCACTATGTTACAAATAAAAAATAGAAGCATCAATATAAATAAAATTAAAAGTGTTGAGAAGAAACAATAGAGAGGGAAAAATTTATATATATAACTAATTATGTAAATTTTTTGAAGGGTTATAAATAATCAGTGAAACAAAAATGAAATATCATTCACTTTGATAAATAAAAATGGAGAACACACTGGAAGTAATGAAAGGGTTGTTGCTGAAAATTATACAGATGGAGGTGGAATTTACCAGACATATCACAAAGATTGAGGTAAGCCTAGTAATACATCAACCTATCATGATTGATTTCTCCTTCTATTACTTCTTCTCAACACTAGTACATTTTTCTATTACTTCTTCTCAACACTTGTACATTTTTTTACAACAAAATTTCCTAAATAATTTAATAATACAAGTGGATAAAAAATTAACGAGTCTTAATTTTGGGTGAATATTATTAAGGTTTAAATGTTAGCCAATGATGAAAAAGAAAACGTTTTGAATAAACTGTATGATGATCTGTCTGTAATGAATGTTTATTGGCAAAAAAGCCACTGAAGAAATTGCCACGATAGAAAGAAAATCTGAAAGAAGAGAAAAAAAAAAAAAATTAAAATGAAAACACTATTTATTTTCCCTCTCTATTTGAATATTAAATAATGATTCTTCAGAATCTCTTAATGAAACAAGGGAGGGTAAGCGTCTTAACTGTATAGAATCTACATGAGAATGGTGGTTTTTTTTCTACATATAAGCAAAATATTCTTTCTCAATATAAAATTAAGGGAAAAAATATACATATACAAATAAACGACGCTACAGTTATTACAATAATCCATTCTTCTGAAAATTTTTGTACAATAAAATAATGAAAACAATTTCATTTAAGGGTTTATTTTTTTTTAATATACAAATTCATATGTAAAAATGAGATTTTTTTCTTTCATCGAATAGATAGTTTTTTAAAAGAAGTTATCATTTTTATTTAAACGAATGCAAAAATCTTTTCAGAATCAGATGAGACTCCCACAAACAACGAGTGATTGACCTAACTGGAGAAGGACACTATGATGTGGTATGTATTAAAAACTTAAGCATACATATTTAAAATTTATTTATCATATTTCAAATAAGGTTATACTTACATAAAGATGCATTGAAAATTGTTGTATTGGTCCAAATAATTGTTGAAATAAAGAAAAGATTCATTATAAATAATGACAAAATCCATTAACTCATCATAGAAAAAATTAAAATTAACTATCCTCATTATTGTCAGGTCCAGTGGGAAATATTTCACACATAAATTTACAATAGTTTGATGGAGTAATAGAAACCATCCTGGATTAAGATTACATTTAACATGCTCATTTTCATCTGGATGTGGGAGTGTACTTATACATCCCACATATCATTACCAGTTGGAAGAAAACCAACCATCTTTTAAATTTCTTCTTTTATTATTACATGTGAGAAAAAAAAAATACATCAACGAACTACTTTATTTACCTGTTAATTCTTCATTTGATGAGTATGTAGATAATGATGATCATCTATCAGCTGTGGATGGTGTTGATGTTGTTGTTGATAACTGAAATTATAAAATAATATTTTTGTTTTTGCATTTCAGATGAAAGAAAAAAGGAGAATTTTAAAAGTGAGTACCCTTATCATCAGTTTTTTTAAAAATAATATACTTTTATATCAACTCCTTTTTTAATGATAGAAAGCAATTTAGAAAGAATAGATAGTTTCCTATCCTTAAAATGAAATATTATGAATATATAACCTACTCATTTTAATTATCTAATGAAATTACCTTTTCAGGCAAAGAGTAGACTACCCGTCACCTCACCAGGCAACCCCATAGATTTGACAAGGGGTGAAGAGAATGAAGTGGTATGTATTAAAAACTAAAGCTTTAGTTAATATCTAGTTCAAAATTACTTTCTCATTGTGTTGTTACAATGGATTCTAAATATAACGAAAACCCATTCTCTTTAAAAATTGCAAGTACGTGTTTTCAATTGTTTCCCTTCCTTAAAATGACCCCCAAGGGTGACTGGGGAATAGAAGTATGGTCACCATTGGTCTTCCTCCGACCGGCAGTAAAACCCGTGCTAAAGTGGGGCGTCCGTTTGGCTGTGCGGGATGTACAAATTTGCAGCCACGTCCGGTCAGAATGGGGACGTTAAATCCGATGCCTCGTGTAAAGAGAGTGCCACGCTCTTTGCACGTTAAGAACCCTTGCAACAACTCTTTGAGGGGTCCGTAGGTGACCTGTTGCATGGCTAAATTTCTGTCCCTATCCAATATACCCTCATTTCCCGTGGCAGTCTAAATTTCTCCGACCTTAATCCCTTAATCTATTACAGAACCTACCTATTGTATTTATTGTGAACTTGTTCTCGTCCTGAATATGCATGAAATATTTGCCACTGGACGTTAAGCAACCAACAATCAATCCTTAAAATGAAATATTATGAATTTATAACCTACTCATTTTAATTATCTAATGAAATTATCTTTTAAGGCAAAGAGAAGACTACCCGTCACCTCTCCAGGCAACCCCTTAGATTTGACAGGGGGAGCCTGTTTAAATCAAAAAGAGAGGGACGAGAGGGTATGTATAAAAAATTGATTTTAATTTAATATCTAGTTCTAAATTACTTTTTCATTTTGATGATACAATGCATTCTTAATATAACGAAAACCCATTCTCTTTAAAAATTGTAAGTGTGTGTATTCAATATTATCATTCTCTTCTTTGAAATGTGAATTTTAATATAATATGTTCTCTTTTCTCAGAGAATAAAGATTCATTTCAAACTAATTATTATATCTGTTTTTATGTTTGTTTATGATCACACTGGTGTAAGTTTCTCCAACAAAACATGAACACAGTGCATTATCAGATGAATCCAAATATATGATTACTCCGTGAAAAGGATATTTCACATATTTTATCTGTTCCAAAGAATATATTTGATACAAACGAACTCCTTGCACCTCTTCTAGAATAATCGCGGAGAAATATGATCCCTCCCCTCTACAATCTAATACTGCTTCCTACCGGTAACAGTTCATGATATCTACACTGTGTGTTGTCTTCATAACAACAGTAATAACTATAATAATTAAAAACATGATCATGATTATGAAATACAGATGGTGATTACGAAAACAGTAGTGACGCTTCTAGCTTGAACATGTTTATGACGTAATCATCTTATCACGTGATGTACGGGGGACAGAATGGGGGTATTTCACATAGAATAATCCAAGCAATATTCTTTACAAAGTACATCATTTTCAAATTAAAATAAGAATAATAATTTACGTAAATTATATATGTTTTTTTTTTAAATGTATTATTATATCTTTTACAGATAGAGGAAAAGATGGAAGAAGATTCACCTATATCACCAATGACTGTGTTAATGGACTTTTCCATTTTATCAATGGATGAACAATAATGGGGATAAAAATAAAATTTGTAATTTGAAATGTTGATTTATTTCCGTTGAAAATAATACCATGAGTATGTGTATAAGGTAAACAATTTTCTTCCTAGTGGTTATACCCAATAAAAAACAATTATTTAAGAAGATGAGGTATGATCACCAATGAGATATTTAATGATGTAGAAGTTAGAAACTATTATTTATGTGAATTTGTGAGGTTGTCTGTTGGTATACTATTAATAAGTAAGTCTGCAAAGTGGTACTTTGGTTCACGGCACATGATAAGCTACACGCTTCTGATATTAGATTGTCCAGTGACAAATAGTTCACACATGATGTTTACTGTTGTTTATTATTCGTGTACAATTATAGAGGATGGTCTTAAAAGTGGTACTTTGGTTCACTGCACATGATAAGCTACATGCTTCTGATATAAGTTGTCCAGTGACAAATAGTTCACACATGATGTTTACTGTGTTGTTTATTATTCGTGTACAATTATAGAGTATGGTCTTAAATGAGAAACGTAAACATATAGACATTTATGGCAAATGATGACGTCATCGGAGAGAATGACAACAAGAAGGGAAGAGATCAGTCATATCGTTAAAAAAGAGCAAAGAAGAAGCACTTACAAGAATAAAACAAAACAAAAGAGGAAAAAGTTGTACGTGGTGAAAAATGTCTTCTAACAAGAGTTTTACGGAAGCGCAACCAAGTGAGTTAGAGCTTATTCAACTTCCACCTTATCAGTTAATAATTTAGTTTTGGAAGTAACGCGTCTTCTGATTGGCTGACGTTGTTTTGTTTATCAGCTCATAGACATAATTTTGTCATGTGACCGTGACGTCATCAACGCTTTTTCGTGGTTTACTCCGGTTTAAAATGGAATTTAGAATTTGTAATATTTTTTTCGAAATAACATAAACAATGTGGTGCACACTTTAAAATAACCCCCTACGCGGGTTATTCAGTGTGCACCACATTTTTGATGTTATTTCTTAATAGACAGAAAAATTTATTACAGTCATTCCTTAAGGGGTTGAAAGCATATCGTATGAAGAGATAGGACCAACATCGCATGTCACGGGTTACAATCCTATTACCTTCAGTTTATCTGGATCCAACGGAATGGAATACTTAGACTTGAAACATTTTAAACTATACGTGAAACTTCGTGCTAAACATGCAAACGGTGATAGTTTTAACTCCGGATGACACCGTTACCCCTGTCAACGGATTATTTTTTGCATTATTTTCTCAATTGGATTGTTATCTTCAAGGAACACTAGTAAGCAGTAGTAACACGTGTTATCCATATAAAAGTTACATAAAATCACATCTTTGCTATGGGCAAGATGTCAAGGCGACACAACTTACCAGCATGCTTTTCTACAAAGATCGAAGTGGACATACGGATTCGTTAACTACCAACACAGGTGCCTATGAACGAAGAAAATTCATTTCCGCTTCCAAGAGTGTAGACTAGCAGGGACCTTTATGCCATGAACTGTTTCAAATGGATCGGTATTTATTGAATATGACGGATGTTTGTTTGAAACTGTTTAGAAATAAACCAAGTTTCTGTCTGATGAGTGGCGAGGAGAATCCGAATTACGACAACATCATCGAGGACATCGCGATAAAAGTTTGTAAAATAAGAGTCAACCCAGCAATTATATATGCACATTCATTGGCATTACAAAAATCAAATGCGAAATATCCGTATACGAAAAGCGCAATTAAACACCCCAGCTTGGTTAAGGGTAGTACAAATGCAATCTTAGATAACCTTTTTCAAGATGTTAAGCCACGACGCATCATAATGGGGATGACTTCATCCAACAGTGTCAATGGAGACTATCAACTCAATCCTTGGAACTTTAAAAACTATGATTTACAACAAGTCACTATGTACTTTGATTGAAGGTATGCTGATATCAATTAAAGTATCGAACTTTTCACCGAGAAGGTGTGTTTCGCTACTGTCAGAGTGATTATCTTTAGGAACCGTCTGTGCTTGATTGTCGGTTAATGAGTGTTTCTTCGAATTCTCATCTTCCTCCTTTCTCCCTAATACCGCCTCATATTTCTGTTTCGGAATCAATATCATTTCTCTCGTCATGATGTATCTGTTCAAGAACGGCTTTAATAATTCCTGGTAACAAAAACCGATGTTTCAAAACCGGTTTTTCCGATGAATACGTGTGGTTTGTTCGTCTGTTATCTTACGAATGACCGATGAACTGATGTTGATCACTCCGTATAAAACATTGTGAATGCATTCTACTAAAACTTTGAATTGTTGCATGTTGATAGTCTTTATCTATGCCGCCCTCTGTTGATCGTCACTGTGTATCATCATCGATAAAAAATGTATATGCCTCTTCACCTGATTACTCATTTCGGAGGGAAAACTAAATTATCTTCTCCTGCGAAGATGTTACTCCTTAAGATGTATGCTTTGTCTGTGTGAGGACTGAGGTGAATCAACAAATATCCAAACTTCGATTTTGTGGATAACTCGTACGCCGTCATAAAATAATTTGATTGGCCAGGGAGAATTTGTTTCCCAAGAATTGATAATTGATGTTTATCACGGTGATTCCGCATAATATGATATAAGCGGCATTCAATGATATATTGCGCATACACTTTCCCTCAGGAAAAAAATTCTGCATTAAAAATAAAACGCTGATATTCCGGTGGCGGCAATTAACAGTAAATAAATTCATGATAGCTACACTATTAACTGCAGTTGCTAATAAATCGTCCAACACCAACAAGATATGCTCTTTATTTTCTGAGTAACAATATACTGTTTTCACCGGCGGAGAGGTAAACATCTCTTTTGATTGTTTAATGAATTTAAAGGTTAACACCGTCTTTTTACTTTGAGTGGGTCCAACGATTAACATCGAGCAGGGTGAATGAAAAGGTTACAACGCTTTCTCCTCTAGTTGTGTCATGTTGTGATGTTGTAGGAAAAAATGTATCGTTTAAGTACTTAACGTATATTCTATAGTGTAGATTTTTTTTTTCTTTTGTGTATCGTTTTTTTTTTTTTTTAGTTTGAATGATGAAGACTAAAAGACTAATACATGAACCAGTAGAAACAAAACACTTATAAATGCATAATATAAATTTTTATTTTCACATCAAAACAGAACTTCTTCATACATATATAATTATTGCAATGTCATATTGCTTATGAAGTAAATCTTCCCTCCAATTTCAATTCCTCTGCATCAGTTGATATACACTATTTTTGAATCCTTTACTCCGAAACCGATCTGTGATGTTTACATTCAGAAAGAAGTACTGCCAGATCATTTGCTTTGAAATGTTTAGTGTTTCACTCTTCTCTTTGTAATTTCGGAACACATCCAAGAGGTGAAATGATTTATACGCTTCATCGAAATGTATTTCTAAGTGTTCTTTCTGTTCATTCATTAAGCAAGCATGCTTTGTCGGACAAGGGTGATCAAACTGACATCCTGAACAGTTTTGTCTTCTTCAACTTCTCGATTACTCCGTCTACGATCTACGCAATTGAAAACAACAGTGTGGTTGATAAAAAGTTTTCCTTCCATAGGTGGTATCTGCGACATCTCCCTCTAGTGTTCGTCAATGAACAAATATAAGAATAAAACGCTTTCTTTCAAATTGCAGACCGTACTCCAAAGGTCGCTGCAGATTTTCAGTTTATTTCAACCAGCAATCAGGAATATATTTGTATGTTTTTCTCTTTTCTTTACCACCACCCTACAACTGTCGTTGATAATAAGATCACCTTCCTTTAATAAGTTAGTATTCAAATTGGTAAAATCACACCGGTATGCTTCCTTACAGAGATCTACTTGTGTCTGTGTCATGATAAATGAGTTTCTGCCTATTTATATGGTAATTATATATATAACCAACAATGAGTCATACGATGAGTCACATGATGAGTCATTTGTTTTTCGTGACTCGTACATTGATAACAGATGTCTAATCATTCACCATGGTTGGATTAGGATATACGTAACCAGTGCATCCGCTTAATAGACTTATCCAAAGTTCACTACTGCAGTGATGATGATTGTAAAGACGATAATTACCTGACAAAAATACACTATTTCTGCTTTCGGTACATTTTTTCCGAAATACACCACTTCGATGTAGAACTTTCAATACTTCTCTCTTCCATGATGAAAATGAAAATGAAACTTTACGATACAATATATACATATATATTTCAACTGAGAAAATGATTAAGAATATGGAGTTTCCATTCCTCAATGTGTGATACTTCACATATTGTTTTTAGTTGCAATAGTGTTACTATAAATGTAATTATTTATAAATATTTCGGATAACAGATATCCCTCCATCAGTAAATATGATTGTGATGTTGAATGAATCATATATCAGTCTACTTAGATTAAACTATAACAATCTTGAAATATATATATATATATATATATATATATACAAGTCTAAATTGAAAACAACGTTCAAACCTATGATTGCGTTCGATAAAAACCGCAATTTTTTATACGTGTGCATGTAAAACAAATTTCTTGGTAGAGGGGTCTACATACAGCACAAACAACATTTTCCAAAAGACCAAAAAAGTGAAAAAGTATATTTTAACAAAACGCATTTGACTAGCAGGTCGAACAACAGATGTTCTTACACCCTGCTGACTGCCATTGGCGATTACCAAATAAACGGATCACCAGATGTAACAAAATGGATCTTAACTATTAATTAAATACCAAACAGAAAACAATAAACTTGCGGAAAAGATGGTATACCGCATACAAAAGGTGCAAAAATTAGAACACCATATCTGGATTTTGACAATTAATGTCTCTTCAGTGATGTTAGGAATCGAAACGGTATTTGGAAGACCATATAATTTACCTCAATTTAGGATAGACTCTTGAATTTTGAAGAGTCGAAAACAGGATGAACGGATCATATAAACCCGAAGGCAAATATAATACAAGCTCAAACTAAAAAATATAAACAAGTCTAAATTGAAAACAACGTTCAAACCTATGATTGCGTTGGATAAAAACCGCAATTTTTATACGTGTGCAAGCAAAACAAATTTCTTGGTAGAGGGGTCTAAATACAGCACAAACACCATTCCTCAGACTGGTGTTACTTCTGATGATAAGACTTCGTAGACTCATCAGTTTCAAACAACTTCCTAGAAGGTGACACAGCAGACAGTGAGGGAGAAGTAGACAACTCAAACCTCTGGTGAGGTATGTTAGACTCGTGAATATTGATACAATAATATTCTTACATATCTATAAAGTTATCCTAAAAA